CGTAATTTCGTTGACTACTTGGTTCGTTCGGTCTCCATGTAAACCAGCCGGTGCTTTTAATGAAACCGTTCATGTTTATCAGTGACGCATCTCTGAGACAGTCTAGATCATGGAAAAGAGCTCTACCCAGATAGAGTAGTCTGTGCTCTTGTAAGGCTGGACAGTCACATAGAAGGTGTGAATATATAACATAGTTTTAGTAAATTTTTGCTAAAAATAATAAGTATTAACACCGTTAGGAATCGGTTGAAGTACGAATTACTCAATTCTTCATAAGAGTCACTAGTATAAATTGCTATATATAAAAGGGTACATTTTTCGATCGTATAAAATTTTATGTCAAACAAATCGTGTCAAACTTTATGTCAAACAGACAAGACATTTATTTTCTTGCTTTGTCACTCGAACCAGTCTATTATCTTAAATTAATAAATGCCAAAATTTTTATCTTAAAAACTGAAATTTGGCAACCTGTTCAATACTTAAATGTAGGTCGATTACTAATTTGATTCGAAATCATTTCAAATTCCTTCAGAAACTATTCGACCAAAAAAGCATTGTGTGGCTAAAGTCATTCAAATGGTATTTATAATTGATTTGTAAGAGATTGAATTCTATTTTTTTTTTGCTTTTATTGTCAGGTAGCATTCCTGTGGTTGATTGATTTTTTCCATGTTCGCAAACTTCTTTTACTTTTTTTTCATTTGCATATAAACTCTTACATGACAATAGGTGAAGAAGAAACAACATGCAACTCTATATGATGTAATTAATTGGAAACATTGAGAAAATGTTTTTCGTATTGTTTTCTGTTGTTACTGTTGACCACATTGTGCCACGTAATATGCGTAGCACTGTGGGCTTCAAAGATTAGAAAATGTAATTGAATTTACGAGTATAACCCTATGCCATTATTGATGGGAGGGTATTATGATTTGTACTGACCTTTATAAGATATACTGAGAACTACTATCTCTATCGAATAAGTTTCACTTCTTGTCTCATCCATATATTGGCCTCTTCTTCTAGTACCTTGATAGATTTTTCCTTAATACATGACCTATTCAATTCCATTTACGCTTTGATATCTTAACAGAGTTTTATTAAGTCTTCTGCATTGGGCCAGAATATTCTTAATAATTTTCGAAAATAGCGGTTGATGAATCATGTAAGGACTTTAATCATTATTATGTTCCAGAACTCGCAGTCATTTAGCAACATAATTTGTACATAAGATTAGCTTATCGTTCAAATATATCGGCATATTTATACAAAATCAATTCTTAAAAAGTCATACGTATGTCTGATCATCATTTTTTGAGTAATAACTAGAGGACAATAATCAATATGAAATCAGAAAAATATTTTTTTTTTAACATTTTAGTTTTTAGTTCCACTGTATGTAACGGATGTTTACACATGTCATCGAACAATGATTAAATTTCAATCATCATCTCAATCAGAATTCAAATCACTAGATGCTCCCATTCACCACTGTTGGCTGCATAACTAGATGGATGGATGATAGATAGATCATGCAATATGAGGGAGAAACTGGCAGTAGAAATTGTAAGTTGAACATACCCAAATAGGCAATAAACTGTATTGTCGTCGTTGCTACCGTTCATTTTTTATAGTTGTTCAGATATCACTGCTAACGTTGTTTCTGTTGATTTGTTGTAGAAATTCAATCTCAAATGATGACAATAATCAATAACAATGTATCTATGAACAAAACATACAATACTTTGCATAACCATAGCAAAAAGATGCACAGTAGGTCATAAATTGTAAATTAACGAACATAATATTTAGTTTGCTTATGTGTAGGGATTTTCGTACAAGTTGCAGTAAAAACAATATTACTACTCCAGCCATTGAATTAGCTAAGCAATTTCTTTTGTCTAGAAGTGATTAATAAGCGACAATTCTATCCCGGACAAGTTCTTCATTGGATTCAAGTACTTACCATAATCCCTTGCAAATAGGGACTTCAATAAGTCATAACTTATTGTAAATCGGCAATTCGTCTACCGGAAGGGCACATAAGTATGTATATTCAAATTATTCATCATATCCTCGTCCATGATTGTGGGTCACCAACATTGGCTTTTTACCGTTCCTTCGAGGTTATGATACCTGAAAGGAACAAATTGGCCATTCAAACATGGTGGCAGCAAGATGATGATCAAGTATGGTCTACTAACGGGTCCAAACACACAGATAGTGATACTGGAGCAGGCAATATCCATGGGAAAATATCTCTCAATCTTTCAGGCGGAAATTTACGCCATCTTCATCTGTGCTAAAGAGTGCGTGAGGAGAAGGTTAAGGGGTCTGAGAATTTATATAATGTCAGACAGCCAAGCAGCACTCAAGGCCTTACTTTCGTATGAAGTTAGGTCGGATGTTGTGATGGTCTGTGTGTCCTCATTGAACGAACTGGGTAAACACAAAAAATTAACAATATGTTGGGTACCCGGCCTTGAAGATCATTCGGGCAATGTACGGGCGGACTGCTTATCAAATAGAGGCGCTCATCGCCCACTTAACGTCCCTGAACCTGAACAGTGATGCGTATCGTGAGTCGAATAGGTATTTGCTTGCCACTGGGAAGCAACAATAGGGCTTAGACAGACAAAGTGCTTAATCTCGCTATCAAGAGAAAAATTCCAAAAGTTATTCTCGCTTAACAAAAGTGATCTCAGAATACAAACGGGACTACTCACAGGACACTGTGGTCTCAGATATCATCAATTCATCCTAGGAAACGCCATATCGAAGCTCTGCAGATTTTGTGGCTGTCAGGAGGAACAGAACAGAACACATATTGTGCAATGTGCAACAATAAATTAAACATGTTATTTTCATACGTAAATTAAACCTGTTATGGTGAACCCATGGGCTGCACCAAAAATCCAAAATGGGGTCGCAGTGCTTCTCTCTAATTTAATCTAAAGTCATAACAAATAAAAACAAGTTGAGAAAGTTTGAATTTCTAAGGTTCGTAGATAAAAATCCTTGTAGTAACAAACAAACCATTTACTATTTGGATTTATGATTTAGGTATGTATGTATATAGGAGCAGTAAACTTGGTGGATTATGATTAGAACCAATAGAAGTCATGTGTTGGGGTCAGCGAGATTGAGAAAAATTCTTTAATGGATCCATGACATTACCAACGTTACCGTTTAAATAAACCATATTCCTAGTAGAGGATAAACTATTCTTACTCAAATTGATATATTATGCGACTTTAAGTAATGTTTCGACTTAGTCTGTTTTTGCTTCTAACCACAGAATTTCTTTTCCAACAAAAGTAATATCAAAATCAAACCTAATTATTCGATGATGATGAATGTTAATTGTATCATTTGGTTTTATTCGTTTAAGAAGTACATTTTATTATTTTCTAATATAATTTATCAAATGAAATACCACAATTAATACATGTTTTTACAATTTGCTAATAAGTACTTATTATATCTTAAAGATTATATGAAAACGATTTGTCTTACATGAATGGTTAACCATGATTATTGCTTTTCTATTATTTAATGTAATGCAATAAAATAACAATAACAACAATAATATTGTAAAATACCAGAACAATTTCTGTACAAGCACTGCGGATAGATAGTATTTCTGTGTAGCGGTTGAACTGTTTTCAATGAAATAACATGATACATATTCAACTGCATATACATATTTATGTTTTTATGTATATGTAGTTATAATTATAAGGATTCTTTCTTTAGCAGTTCAAGAAAAACAAAAGCTTGATCTTGTACTCGTATTATTTGAGGTGCAGTTTCAAAAAAATCTTAATCAATGATTACTGACAGCATCAATTACAGTGTAGAGAACACACATTTGCCTTAGCATACATGTCCCAATAAACAATTAATGTAAGTATAGAAATACATACATACATATGTATGATGATAATGACTCAAAAATTTACGCCATTGATATGGCCTCAGAAATATGTTTCAATGTGGACAATATTGTATCTATCAGGGCTTTCAACGTAAAAAATTGTGATCGATATAACTTCTTCATTGTAATCATTTCCAACCCCAACTCAGAAGACACTTTTTGGAGATAATATGAATTCTAGGATATAAGGTTTTTCGATAAAAATAGAATCTCTAACGAAAGCGTTATTAACTTACATACATACATATATGCATCTTCTCTGGAAAAGGAAAATTAGAATAATGTTAACGCTATAAGAGATAACAACATCAATCGTATTGCATGTTGGGATATTTTTGCATTTGTAATCGTATTCAACGTTGTTGTAACCGCACTGACATTGACACCGGTAATAATATGTTGCAAAACAAGCAATTTTCTGCAACTTTGTAATTTTTTTTAATGACATCGCAAACAAATTTTGTGAGAAAAATAAAATAAGGAAAACTAACATAACAGGCAGTGATACAGCTGTATATAAGCAATTTTCTATATTTATATAGAAAATATTTTCCAACGTCCACATTTAAATACATCAATTCATCTCTGGACATTAGTCCACGTTCTCATTTAAATGCACTAATTGACAATCTCGGGAAAATAGCCGCGGACATTTGTCATTGTGGATCGATAATTTCGTTATTTATTATCACGATTTACTGATTTATTAAACTAATACTGATTTTTTGATTATCATAAATATATCGATATTAAAATGAATACTTGGATGATTTTTGGAATAGGCTTGTGAGTCATTAATTTCTTCGAACAATTTAGGAGTAGAATCAATTATAGTCAGATGGACGCACATACATATCTAGATCGTGTTAAAATATAAAATAGGACCCAGAAAGTATATACTTTCATGGGTCTGCGACCAATGTTTCGATGTGTTGCAAACGGAATGAAAGTATCAATTACTTAATATTTTTTGAAAGTAATTATAAAAATACTATGTATAGAGTAATCAAAATAATTTGTTTCGGAATAGTTTCATAATAACATTCTTAATATAACTTACCTCGACATGGTCCCGGATATGCTACACCAATGGAGCGACCAATTTTACAAATCATACGATTTATATCACATGCGCTCTTGTAAGTTTTACCATCGGCGCCACAAACAGCTTTCGTTGCATCAACGGCATCATTCTCATAATCATCCTGTGGGCATTCTATTTTACATGCTATACAATGTGGCATAGAATACTGGTCCTCAACACAGATTAATCCATTTAAACATTTAACACCGTTGCATGTTGCTGCAATCATAAAAAGATAAAAAAATGTATTATACAAAATGAGCGCACATTCATATGTTAGGTAATAATTGTACAACTTTTGCTAGGACCAATAGGTGAAAAGTTAACTCATTTGAAAAAAAGCTGTATAACCAAAATGTCCAACTTTGACCCACTCTAACTCCTGCCATACTTGACCGATAGAGCTAATAATATGTGTCTGGCCTACTATCCAATAGTACTAACCTTAGTGCAAATTTCATCCAAATCGATTTTTTGAGTTGGGTCACCTGACACGAAATTGCCCATATGTATCTCCTATGATAATACAGGCCGACAAAATTTGAAAAAAAGTAGAAACGATTCTAAAGGATTGAGCTGCGCAGAATCTGATTTTCTCCATCACATCTTGGATTTGAGATATGTTTGGTTAGGTTGATAGGAGGATATATAGTACATCAAATCCGAAGAAATACACCTTGGTCACTATCGGGCCTGTTGTGCGCTCCTTTTCATGAAAAAAATTTTTCACAGAGTATAGGTATTATTTTTTAATGTTCAGAAACTCAGTTTCCTAGACGTAATTCCTAAGAATTTTCCAATCAGTGTTAGTCAGGAATATTATTTTCGGAATAACATCACTTCCAAGATACTTGGATCTAACTTCGACAAATGCCTGACAGTGGCAAAGAAAGAGTTTCACTGCCCTCTCCACATGCTCTACATTCGTCTGAATCCGCACGGCCAATTTTGTATAGATGTACGAGCACTACCTGTGCGTTCACTCATAATACGTACCATCATACTAACTTCAGACTAATTTCATCCCCCAAATTAGAGCCATCCGTATAACAACAGATTCATACTGGTATTTGCTCTAGTTTTCCGTTTGACCAAGACATTCTATCTGGAATCAGCGTTTCAAAGTTTCCAACATATTCTATGTCTGGTATGCGATCAGGCACGTCTGATGATTGTGTACAACCTTCCATGTGTTCAGTATACATTGATGACGTGTCCTATAATCGCTTTTGGCCAGTTCGCCTAAAGTAATGAGCCGTTCGGCTGTAAGCGCCGCCTCATATCTTAAATATGTTTCAATGGGTGGAATATCTAGCAACGTATCCATGGCATCACTTATACCCAAGCAGCATGTACTCTGAACTCTCTGTAGTAGTTTGATATTACACTTTTTGCCCAAAGATTAGTGGAGCATAAGCTAGAATTGGTCTAATTACACTTTTATAAAGCCAATTTGACATATTTGAAATTTGAAAAAACGCCATTTTTGGCCCTTTTTGTGACGTTATAACAGCGCCAAGACAACTTTAGTTGTAAATTGTTGTATGTCATCTGAAAGTCCATTATATTAGCTTGAAAATAAAGGCTTAACATCTGACATATCATCGAGATATCTTCACCTAAAGATATTGGCCTGTAACATTCCGATTTTGAAATCGGAACATAAACGAAGAAATGTGTTGAAAGATTTAGCATGTCGGAGGTGTGCTACTTTGCGGACTCCTATGATTCCGCAACATTATCCCGACAGACTAACCATTTAGAAGTTACAGAATAATTTCCCTCTTGTTTTCCTATACCAATGTCCACCATCAATTAGAAAATATCCACCCATAATGTTACCTTTAGAAATTGTTTTTAAAGCTGCTAACTAAAATCCAGTAAAGGGATGAAATTCTTTATAAACAAGTTTTAAAAGAATAAAAGTTCCTACCATATAGGAAGATAGGTTAATAATTGTATTTATCCGTCGTAGACGAACTTAAAAATTAGGATTTTTTCTAAGATATACATCCAATTCTTTACGAAATGCAGCGAAAAATCAGATCAACTTAAGCATACAGTGTATCCCAAAAGTATACACTGTACTTTTTGCGTTTTAATATATAATTGAACTGAATTTTTGTTTACTTGAATTTAAACTTATTTAAATTCATATTTAATACATATTAATTTTAAGTATTGACTACAAAATCTATGTTCAGTAATACATATGTAGATGTAATTTTTGTTGCGGTTCTTGTTGTTATTGTCACTAATCATGAATGAAATTATTGTAACCAATAAACAATCAAATTTATCATTGAATATTGCAGTGGCATGAAGCAACTTGGCGCCATCTGTGACACCAAGTAAATTGCAATAATATTTCTAATATAAAAAAAATAAATAAATTTGTTTGCTTTGAATTTTTGAATGGCATAGTAACAAGAATCCATTAGTTAGATATCGGAAAGTGAAAAAATTACTTTAATATTTAAAGATTCCAACTGACAGAGTTTCCTTACTTTCTTAAGAATTTCAATGAGTGAGTTTAAGTAGGACTATTTCGAAAAAATTGAGACAAATTGTATGATGCTTTTCTAGTGCGGCTACAAGAATGGAACAAATTTAAGGTATTGCAAAAATATTTTGAGTAGATCTTTATTTATTATTTACTTATATTGATTGGAATCTTTGCAAAAGGATATTTATAATAAAATTTAATTTCTATGGATTTATAATTTATCTTAAGATCAAATACTTTTGACCTCTTTTCAATGACAACTTTTTTATGGAAATATTTTCACTTAAAATCTTATAAATTGAAAATTTTGGCAACAATGGCATTTAATTTATGTACATATGTATACATACTTTGTAGGTATGTATGTTGCTCTATCATATTTTCATTGTAGAGTGGTTGGAGCCACATTTATGGCACGCGTCCACCATGCAATTTTTAGATGCAAAAGCATGCTGTCTTCTAAATAGTTTACTAGCTTGTTAGTATTCATTTGGTCATAACGTATTTGTAGAGAAGATTCCAATGCAATCAAGCACAGCCAAGCGTTACAATGCTGGCACAACACATTGCCAACGAGCATCCAAGAAGAGACCATTGAGTTGTTCATTAATCTAACAAGTTTTCAATAACAGCTATTACACACTGTCGTTAGAAATTTTCCATATAACATTGAAAACTGAGATACGATGAGATTGTTTTATTTTTATTCTTTTATTCTTTTTTTTTGATTTTCTTAACCACTGAATTTTTTACTTCCTGTATTATTAAATAATTTTCATCGTTAAGATTCATCTAAGAATTAGTAATAAATGTAAACTACTGATAGATGAATATAACATCTACAAATCAGGAAGAAAATATGCAAATATATACAATTAAATACATAAAAATACAAATTAGGTCTTCGAACAATTTTAAAAAAACATAAACGGAAAAAAGAACATAAAGAACATTTTGTAATATTGCTACTTTCCAGGGGATTTTCCGAAAAATCTGAATCTTTTAAATAAAGAATGTCTTAAATTTTGAACCATTTCAGCATTAAGTATCAAAAAAATGGGAAAATTTTGCAAAAAATACTAGAAGATTAGTGAAAAATAATACATAATTACACTGACTCATTATGTAATGATCTGACTTATAAAGTACTTTTAAATTTTAAAGCATTCTATGGAGGATATTTGAAATGAAACACCGATTAATTTTAGAAATATTTTACTTACTTCTACAATGACCGCGATATGCAATTTGCAAATTAGGGTTGTCTGTCCTACATGCCCGTTTCCTTAATTGACATTCAGTATTGTAGGTGCGACCGTCAGTTCCACACACTGGGTTTAGAGGTTTAACATTATCTCCATTCTTGATTAAAAGAAAAAAATAATAATATTAAAATGTGAAATAATATAGTTTTTTTTATTTAGAAATAAAATTGTTAAAGAAAATATATTTTTAATGGAAAAAGAACAATTAAACAGGCCAACGAAATTAAGGTTTGGTAAAACTTTTTAAGTGCTAAAATCGAATCTAATATCGGTTTTTCTTTTCAATTTTCTCGGAATATGGTACTGAATATTTAGTTAGTTATTACGGAAATTTAATATAATTATAATATGTAATGAGCTAAAAAGCTAATAAAACCTCTTTTCACTACTTCTTCATTAGTATTTTAAGTCATTATTTTAACACGTTGATGTCATTGAGGCAAGTACTTCCACGCTCCCTTACAAATAGGGCGTTAAAGATATACTTGCAATTTCTCTTACAAAGATATACTTGCAATTTCTCTTACAAGAAGTAGTAGTAGTCATTGAAAAGTAAGTGGTTATGTAAGTACAACCCATTACCGCGCTTTTACTTGGATATTTATTGAAATCAAAATGTTTTTGTCAAATTACCCTAATAATTTACCCTACCCCCATATAAAGATCCCATCATAAAATTACTTTAACGCTCATAACTTGCATCTTACTGACAGTAAAGCTACAAAATTCGACATAAACATTTCGATCGGAACTAAAATCTTTCTCAAAAAATAATAATCCCAATAACAGGCTTAAAATCCAAGAAAAATAAGTTTTATTGGAACTAAGATCTCTTTGTCCCCCTCAGAAAATTACTTATTTTCACAGTAACCAAAATATTTCTTAAATTTTGTGAGGATTTGTTCATGTATTATAATAACATGATACTATCAGGCAGTGATGCCAGGAGATTTTTTTCAGAAATCCCTACTCTTATGAGAAAAAATTCCTTTTTTCCCTACTTTTTATTTTCCCTACATTTTTCCCTATACTACTTTTTTCCATTTTTTTCCAAGTTTATCTTAAAAAAATACAAAAATAACATAAAAAACTAAAATTTAATATAATTATTTTAAATAAGGTTTACTTTTGCGTTTACTTTTTGCGGTTTACTTTTATAAATTTTCAGAACATTAAATTATTTTTTTCAATCCTGAGTTACTGCATTAAGCCCCCGACTACTCTATCTATAAGGAGTCAGAATATATCGCTCAACAGGATTGGCATAATCCAAAAAAGTCGTTTGAAGAAAAATGGATATGAATATTTAATGACATTTAACTATTTTCTTTGATAACTTTTAAACAAATAAAGGGATTTTAAAAATCCAAATTCAGATAGTTGAGGTTAATATGTTTCTCATCAAAATTTAAATTCAATTTTCACGAAAACGTGGGTTTTAGTTTTTACGTTTACAAAAAATCGATTTCACATCGAAAATAATAGACATATTAGAAATTTGATAAATCTATATGAAAGATTTTAGTATGTCGCATGTTTTGTAGACCTCAGTTCAAGAAACCCGAATTTTGGATTATGCCAGGCTTGTAGCGATATGTAGGTACACATATTGTAGAAATTACAAGCGGAATTTTTACTAACGATACACTTAAAATTGATTTAATTTTTAATTTTAAAGTTTAATACATGAAAGAGTATATTTTTAGTTGATAAAAACTATGAAATTGAAAAAATCCCTACAACTTGACAATAGTAAGAAATCTTTGCCTTTTTCCCTACACGTGAAATTTTTGAAAAAAATCCCTACAAAAAGGGAAAAATCCCTACACTTGGCATCACTGCTATCGGGTCAGGGCATTTCTACTGTTTATATAGGAAACTAAAATTTAAAAAAAACTATGGAAGCAAATAACAAAAAAATAGATACATACATATAGTATAGGACCACTTTTCGAAATTCACTTGAAATATATGACACATGATTTGATGTTGGGTATATAAGATTCGTCATAGCCTATTATAACACTGTTATTTGTATTATATATTTCTCTCAAGATTTATTTAAATCGATTGAAAAGTGAATTATGTACATTTTATTACGATTTCATGAAAGTTTCCCCATATTGCTTAACTTGACTTTGACCTCCACAGTATGGGTTGACATTATTCGATTTTAAAGAAATCTGAAATTTTATGTCCTAAAAAAGCTTTATATAAAATGCATAACAGTAAATGATTAAGGCTAATTTTCAAAGATATTACAAAAAAATATTTCATCGAAATTAAAGTCGTAGGAACCGCTAATTTTTTTTCTATTTTATTCCTTATTTGCTACCCATGAATTGGTTTTTGGAGATTTTCTAAAAATTTAAAAATTTGCTGAACTAAATTTTTAAAAAATTTGAATCTGCCGTCTAAGGGCCAATCTTTAGGTGAAAGATTAGCGATTAAATTAAAATTAATCCTCGAAGGATGTTTTTGAGTACTCAATTAGTTAATTTTGTTTGCTAGTTTAAGCGCCCAATGGAGGTGGTTTAAACTTGAGCAACAAAAGTGTAAAAGGCTGATGCAAAAAATTTAATACAATTTTTATAAAAATAAACATTAAAATGTTTGATTTATTGATTAGTATAAATTATGGAGACTTCAAAATACATTTTTTTGTTTTAAATTTAAGTTTTCATTAATTTTCATATTAAATTTACAATAGTCTTCTTCTTTCTTATAAAACACGCATGGCTTTGACAACAAACAGTGACGATTTCTGCTGTTTTGTATGGCAACACTATGAAGTTTAATCTTGTACTCAAAAACATCAAAGGGGATTAACATCAGATTAAGTTTGTTTTTAGATTAACTAATCTGATTATTAATTGGCATTTGATTGCCAACTCAAAACCCCGCTCTAAAGGGTTTTCCATTTATGACTATACCCACAAATACGGTTTTAGTTGTCTAATGAAGATATTTCCAAAAGAGTAAAAACATTATGGTATACATTAAGATAGGAAACAAATTAAGGACGGTTCTCTATAGGCTGTAGTCTGATCTCAATGAAATTAAGTGGAAACAGTTCCCTGACTATATCGATTATATCCACCAATTTTTTTTTTTTAATAATGATAAGGAAACGTCGATATGTTTTGTATTTTATTTAAATATTTTTAATCCTATTCGCTCCCCGGTATTGTGCTAGCTATATTTATCTAACGTACATATATATGTACATCCGTATACGTGCAAGTTCATTAGCTTTACATTGGTATATAAAACTTTATGGTTTCAATTCTATTTTAGTTCAAATTTTTCAGTTTAATTAAAATATGTATTACAACAATTTATCCTAAGCATCTACTTGTTAGTTATGCTTTCTTTGTTAATAACGGTTTGTATGTTGTTGTTTACATTATTTTGCAATGTTTTGGTAGCGTACATAGGGGTCTATGAAATCAAATAAACTTCGGTATAGATTGAATTTTGAAAAATGGAAAAAACCGTTTCCGTAAGTTTTTTTGAGGGTTATTATGTATTAATTTCAAAGAATTTAATATAATCTGTGCTAAAATGCAAAAAAAAAAAAAAATTTACAAATTCCCCGAAAGATTAGAAAATTTCAACTACTTTTGCTGTTACGCAACAATTTCTGGAACTTAAAGCGCCTCAAGGGCCTTTCAAATGATACCAATATTTCATATCTTTCTTTTGGAAGAAATATGAAAAAAATCTAAAAGGTTCAAAAAAGGACCTTTTAATCCCTTGATCCTAAATATTGACACGAGGACAATTTTGAAAAATGGTATCATAGAATCAATTAAACTTTAATTTTAGTTGGGAACATTGATACCATATTTTTCCTACATACACACGGGGCCTAATATACGTCATACATATGTTTAACATCGTGAGTAAACTAGAGGACATTTGTAATAAAATTGTTATAGTTTCAGAAATATCTTAAAATTTTTAAAAGGATTTTTTTCGAAACTTTATGAAAAACGAATTACTAACATGTTGTCAAATTTCCCATACAAATTTATACACCAAAATTTTGTAGTTCTTTTGAGGTTATGAATAATGCCCTAAATCTATATAGTAAATGTGTATTATTATGAATAACTTCATATACACATGACCTTGCAAAGACCGGGTTCTAAGTATTTATGGTTTAAACTTTTCGCAACATTCAATTTACCACAATTTACTATGAGCATTAATAAAAAATAAATATTGTGTCTACATTTACATTTTTTTTGCTAATAAAACTAACCTACCGTTACTGTTTGTTGCTGCTGTTGTTGTTGCTTATTTGGAAATCCAATCAAATCAAATTGTTCAGAAATGCCATCAAACAAAGGAGTCTGGTAATGTTGTCGTTGTTGGTGTTGTTGTGCTTGCAATTGTGGATGTGTCTGCTGCTGTTGGTCTTGCTGTTGCTGCTGCAGTTGTTGATTATTATGCAAATTCGAGTGTAACGTTAAAATTTTATTGTCATTGTTGTTATTATTGTTGTTGGATGCTGTTTTCATTGGTATTTCAATACGATGTTTATGATCATGATGCAAAACACCTTCGCCTTTAGCAGACATTGTTACAACTGCCGATTCGGATGAGGAACGTGCAGAAACTGCAGACGTTTGTAAATGTGATGAAGACGATGGCGATGGCAATGATGATGATGATGATAATAAGAATGACGCAGCTATTTTACTTCCGTGATTTGGTAAACGACTATGATTATGATCGTCGGCAGCTGCACCATCATCTGCAGACATTGTGGAATTTACAGGAGTGGTCGAAGGAAAGGAAGACAACAACAGCTGTGATTGTGTATACTCTGGGTTTGAATTAAATGCTGCTGTTGTTGTTGTTGCAAGTGCTGCTGATAGTGATGATATATTCAATGATGTTGCTGTTGTTGACGATTTAACTATTCCCGACTGGTGCATAGTAGAAGACGCATAAACATCAGTTACAGTTGTATCCGTATCTGTATTAGATGCAGAGTTCACTTTATTTGTAGTTATATCAAAGCCAATATTATTGGTGGTGCTGCTGGCTGTGATGTTGTAATCCTTATTATTCTTTGGCTTTTTCAATACAATGGACTGTTGTTTATGGTGTTGTTTGTTGCTGTTGTTGTGTTTATGTCTACCATGATTTTGATTTTGCTGCTGGTGATTGTGATGGTGTTGTTGTTGTTGCTGCTGACGGTGGTGGTGTTGGTGGTGATTGTGATGATTATTATGACGATGATGTGGAGTATTCTCAGCATGACGTCCATTCTGTTGAGAATGTCTAACGCGGGTATTGTTGTTACTAGAATGTTGCTGTATTTTGGTTGTTTGTAAATCATGATGGTTTTTATTTTTGTTTTTATTGCTGCTGCTGTTGTTGTTTTTGTTTTTGTTGTTGCTGTTCCTGTTTCTGTTGTTATTGTTTGGTTTTGTATTAGTTTTAAGCTGATGTCTAGACGGAGACTGGTTTAAAAATCTTGTTGATTCATCGTTGCGGTTGTTCTTGTTGTTACCGTGACCGTTGTTGTTACCATTGTCGAAGTTAATGTTGCTGTTATTATTTTTCTTTTTGGCCTCTTTGGCTTCGTCTTCCGCATCGTTATAGTTGTAGTCTTCGTTGTTTCCTTCTTCTTCTTCTTCATTATAGTCTGAGGGATCAGTGTCCTCGTGTTGATCATGTTTGTTACGATTGTTGTTGTTGCTGCTACTATTATGCCGTCTGGCATGTGTTGTTCTTACATTACTAAAGATTTGTAATCGTCTAGTGGTGGGCTTTTCCGTATGTTCAACATTGGCGGTTATCAAAAGTCTTCGACTGCCTTTTGGCTCCTGGTTTTTATGATTTGGTTGTTGTTGTTGGTGCTGTTGTCCATGTGAATGATGTATGTGTATTAATTTTCTTTGGTTTTGATTGTGTTCTTTGCAATGATGTCGTTCCATTGATGACGTTACGCCACTGCTGCTAATCATCGCATCTTTGCCATTTCCTAAGCCTAAATTAACATTTGTAATTTCACTACTTAAACTACGTGTATCGCGTGATTGTTGTGATTTTTCTATCTTAATTTTAAAGTCATACGAGGATTGGATGGTGGCGGACACATCTTGAAAATAGCCACCATCATCAGCATCATCATCATTATCGTCGTTAACATGACTGCTAACCAAGTGTAAAGTGTGATGTTGTTGCTGTTGCTGCGCTTGTTCCTGTAGCATTAAGTGGTCTCTTTGCTTACGTTTTCTTCTTGCTGCTCCACATTCGGGGGCACAGATACACTTGGGTCTTCCTTTTCTTTTAACGCATTTCTTATTCGGTCCACACTTAACGTTTCTACAACTTTCTGAAAAAATGGATCAAGAGTATGAAACAAAGAAACTACTTGGAGTTAATGATTTTCATGTAATTATCTTGTTTGATTTTTAGCTTTTAACCAATTTGTTACAAGAACCTGTGTAATTTTATAATTTTGTTTTCAAGAAATCGAAATTAAATAATTATTATTTTTGTTTGGTTTTAGTTTAGCTACCTAAGCATGGTGAACATTCCATGCCGCCTCCAATTGCTGTCGCGAAAAAATACTCAACATTTGTTGGTTCGCGTTCAGTGTAGGCGAACTCTTGATTGGCGCCACAACATTCACTTTTGCTAATATTTAACGAAAATATTTCGTTGCATTTACCATTGTCTAGCACCGTCTGCCAACAGGCTCCAGCTGAAAATAATGTTTGTTTAATTTTAATTTTGGTTTCATAAATAAACATAAATTATACATATGAAAAGTCATTTAGTTTTATATAAATATGTATGTAGCTATGAATGTACGCATAAAAATACTTAGTTAATTATATGAAAAACTAAAGATGGACTTAATGCAGGGACATTGCAAGCCACACGATTTTTAATAGATTTTAAGTTTTACTTCATTATCATATGCATGTATATCAATTCATGTGGCCTCCGGTAGGTTAGTGGTTAGTGTTCTAGTCTGGTAAACCGGAGGGGTTGGGTTCGATTTCCACCTGAGGCACTGGTTAATGAGCGCACAACAGACCCGATAGAGGCCTAGGTGTATTTCTTCGGATTTGATGTATATACATCCTCCTTTCAAACTAACTAACTAACATATCAATTCATTCTAAGATACCATTTTCAAAATGTTGCTCCTGGGGTCAATATTTTAAAATTAACATCCCAATGAACATATTGCCATATGGTAACCTGTGACTTTCAGAAGTTCTAGCCAAAACCTTCAGAAACCCGATCTTCATAGAATTTGTGAAATGTTTGTATTTGTATTTAATTTTATTTCTATATTTATATTCTTATCAATGCATTAGATTAATTTTTGGAAATTGTGCTAATCACATAGAGGGATGAAAGACACTTTAAAATTATACATGCTTGGTATAAAATTGACACCAAAGTGATTATAATATTTCAATAACATCCGTTGTCAAAGAATGTACGGATAGTTGTCAAATCAACAACAAAAATATGGAAAATACACGACATTATCAAATTAACAAAAAATAATTTATGACGTTGTCAAAGCATAAACGCAGATTCGATCTACGACTGATGGCGGCTAACTACGCAAATTTAAAATTGTTTATAATATTTATTGTCGAAATGACAACGATGCGACGACATTATCAAATTAACAAAAAAGAATTTATGACGTTGTCAAAGCATAAACACAGATTCGATCTACGACTGATGGCTAACTACGCAAATTGAAAATTTTTTATAATATTTATTGCCGAAATGACAACAATGCGTTGTTGCGATGACAACGATGTGTTGACAAAATTACAAAGTTGGTTGTCAAAATGATAAGTGGGTGTAGTAAAAATTTTATACACATCCGTTGTCTAAATGTTAACAAATATGGTTAGCTCACTTGAACACTAGAATACTACCAAAAAATATAAATTGCATGGAAACGTTTCTTCAATTTGAAATGTTTATTGGGTTTGTTTGAATAAATAATTTATTTAACAAAGAATCTCTTTGGCAAATGCTCATTTCAGCATCAAAGTAAACATTAATCAAATTGTATATCAGAAGTAAAATCGCTCTTTGATCTGAAAATGCTTATATTCATTATGTATGGTCATGATTTATACATAAATATGAGTATTTATGCATCTATTAGATACATTCTAATACACATTAATCCATAAATAACTCGAGGTGTATTTAAAAATATAATATTAATAATACTATTTAAATAGTAATGGGCAGAAAATTCATATTTATAAGTAGTAAGGAGGAGGTGCTTTTATTCGATCAGTGTGGATATAATTGTAACATCAAATAATGATAATTTAGTTATACTATTTCCAAAAATAGTTTCCGAAAAGTCTTAGGTATGATTAAATTAATAAATATATTTACTCTTTTTGAATTTTATTCCAGAATACTGTTAAAAAATTACACACATATTAGACAGATTTTTCCAAATCAGATCTAAGGATGTGATCTCTTCACGTCGGAAAATGACTGCTGTCTTAAATCGGACAATTAACAAATTTGTTTAGCCATTTTTTTGGAAAATAATAGTCAATGCATCAAAATTTTCTCATAATACATTTGCTCGAAGACGCCCCCGAGGGCATGTTACCTTCTCATCTTGGTTTTATTGCAAGCCTGGGGACCAATACCTCTAGTCTTCCGGGACTCTAAACTGGTGATGGTTAAATATATTTTTGTCCAGATAATCTGTACAATGGGTGGCCAGTTGCACGCAGGATTTTGTCCAGGCTGGTCAGTTGCTTAAGGTTCCTTCGGGATCCACGTAGTTGCTGTGTTTTAAACCCAAATTCGCAATACGGGACGCTTGGTTAAAATATTGATGGATGGTGAAATATAATTTTCGGGATAAGTTTCAGTTACCTTTCCTAGTTTCTAGGAGCGGAACAAACCACAGGGTAAGGCTGTGGATTAATAAAATGTTGAATTTGAACTGATAATGCAAAGATGAGGATAATTCTGAGATGTTTTTGAGTTTGAGTGATTGATAGTTGTGAGATCGTTGGTTGAGCTGAGTGGAGCTGAGTATACCTTAATTTTTAATTTATCGGCGATTTTCCTTCATGGTTGAGAGTGTTAATACTTTACTGTAAAAACATTCTCAACTTATCACAGTAGGTCTTTATGACCATTGAAATAAGTCTTGTCAATTAAAAATAGATACGTACTTCGGACCACCAATGACCTCCCTAGGTGCTGTTGTCGAAGCAACAGTCATCTCAGTAGTGTGGATGTGCGACTTTAAGATGTTAAGTAGTGCATTGGGCTGAGTCTAGGGAAATGAGCATTCCTCATAGCATCAATAGTGTTCTGTACTCCCCATAACCCTTTCACGCACAAAACCAAACCGCTGGACTTTTTATGGATATGACTTCACTACACACCTTATTTTGTCGTATATCGATCATTTTTGATGAAAAATGGAAAAAGTGTTTTTGAAGGATATCGCAGTATATTATCCGTTTTAGCATGTAGTAACATCAAATTCTAAAAAATAACGTATTTTAAAATTTTTTAATGTTTCAGTTTTTTACGTTCAATATCACGTGAATAAATTCGCATTCAGGAAGAAACTTGTATTTTTAGTTTTATTCGTTTAGCTTCCACATTATAGAAAATTTCGAAATTACTATTTAAAAAAAAGTACTATAAAATACCTCTTATTTAATTAAAAATTTTATGTTTCTGTCTTCAATATATAGACAATTCAAAAAATATAATTTGATGAATGAAAAAGTACCAAAAGTCCCTTTCAGTAGATTCTCATTCACTAAGGTCCCTATATTTTAAATTTTATATTTCTATGTTCAATATCGTAAAAATATCAAAAAGTACCATTGGAAAAACGAAAAAGTACAAAAATCTCTCCCAATAAATTCTCATTTAATAAGGATATGTTCCGGTTAACCATTATAGAGAAACCAAAAGGTACCATTTGAGTACCCACCAAAGAGTACCCACTTACAGAATATTATTCAGTCAAGACCATGTTTGTTACAATTTATGTTCCTAGGTTGAATATTTTAGAAAATTCAAAAAGTACTATTTATGAGATAAAAAGTACTAAAAGGTTCTCTCTTAAAGAATCTTATTCAATGAGGACCGTGTATATTTAATAATCATGTGTCTTGAATTTATATTATAAAACATACTGAGTATCATTTGAAGAAAGAAAAAGTACCAAAAGTGGAATAAATTTTACCTAAGGGGAAAGTACTAATAAAAATAGTAAAGTTTTTCCCCTTTTCGCTTAGAAATATACTTTTTCGAAAATTACACAAAATGTTCCGTATTTAAATCTATATATCACAGATGAAACTCAAACGACTCAAATCTGCATTCATTTGCTAAAGAAAAATACTGCTTTCAAAATAAGTACCAAACAATTTACTCGAATTTGGTCCTATATAGGCCTTAGTACTCGAATTCCAAAATAATATACCAATAGCTTATTTTGTGTGAGTATATAAACTGCTTTTTCAAATTTTATAAAAATTGGCTCAATGAGTTTGAATAAAATTAAATTTCTGTTTTCCCCTTTTTGGTACTTTTTCCCCAGTGAAACAAACATTTTGTTTAAATAAGCAAACATATTGCTTCAATAAATATTACAGAGTTAGTCCATAATTTAATAGGAATACTTCAATAAATCGAAAAAGTTTTCTTAATGTGCTAAAAAAAAAAGTACCAAAATTACAGTTTTCTCCCTTTTACATCCAAAATGGGCTGAATTTTAAAAAAGTACGAAACAGGTGTCTCCTAATTTTGGGAGATATTTAAAAGTACGAATTTCAAAAAATTACCAGATACCCATCTGATCATTTTAAGAGTAGATACATATGCATTTAAAATTTTTCTTGTATCACTAATATTAGGTAAGGTAATTAAGAAAACCTGTTTTACCCGTTTTTCTCTTTTTTACCCCTATATGTACAAATTTCCCAAAATCCTTAGTGGATCTATATAACCAAAAATTCATCTACTGTTAAAATTTCATGATTCTAGGTTTAGCCGTTTGGGTTGTGCGATGATGAATCAGTCAGTCAGTAACGCTACTCTTTTATATACATATATAGATAATGACATAAAAAAATAACCGAAATTAACCTTTAAACATAAATATATTTTTATAATTGCACTGGCCAAAGAAATGAATGAATTTTTAGCAAATTTTATTTATTTGATGTCATCATTAACACAGGTCTTCATTATATATTTTTCATAAGCTTCATTTAAATCGGTTGGAACCAAAATAATATATCACTATAGTTTCAAGAAAATTTACCAATATTTCATAGCTTGAGTTTGACCTTCATAGTTTATGGGTTAACATTATTCGATTTTACTAAAACTTTAGATGTACATATGTATCCTTATATATTGAATTGTATATCCAGAAATTTTATATAAAATGCATAACAGCAAAGAATAAAATTCCCTAAAGATATAACCAGTAAAGAATGAAAGATTATATACATACAAAATTACATACATAATTGTTTTTAATTTTTCATTTCCTGATTTCCTTTACTTTAAAATTTGCAAGGGTGAGAAAGTTTAATCAATGAATGTAGTTTTATAATGTCCGGATAAAAAGTGTCCTTCAAAGTTTCTTGTTTGTATCGCACAATTTTTCTAAATTTTCGAATTTTCCATTTGGAATATACTCAAAATTCGCAAAATAAATTGCTAAATAATAACACCCATTATATGTTTCTGCACTTATTAGTGCAAAAAAAACACACACACCCACAAACATATTGGTACATTTAAAATTGTATAGTTCTCTAATGGTGATGATGAAAAATCTAAAGTATGGACGTTCCTCACCTGTCGTACCGCGTACACCGATGGTGAAGGCGATAAATAACGTCAAAAGCAAACAAGACAAAGTGTAGCTGCGATTCCAGGTTGAATTGACATATTGATCTACCGAATGATAGATACTCGTTCCCGTAGCAGTTGCACTAGGTGTGGTAACGCCACTATTGTTGATGTTGCTATTATTGATATTTAGCACTCTACTGGTTGTCAACGATTTTATATGAAGTGGCTGGTGGTGATGTAGAGTGTGTTTGCTTTTGTGGTGATACTGATGTTGGTGGATCGATGGTTTGTCGCGAACATAATGACGTAATATGACTGAACATTGGCAGGTTTCATAATTTGCTATCGATGATGATGATGATGTTGATAACAACGTAGTCAGCGTCATCGTGGCCGTTCGTGTCGTCGTCAATGAAAATGACGATGGCGAGTGCGAATGCGATTGTGATGATGACGCTGATTTTGTCGCTTTCAACTGGTGATGCTTTCGTCTTTGGCACTTTATTGGTGTTGATGTGATTGTTGACACTTTGTCATAATTGTGTTGTTGATGGCTTATTTCATCGGCAATATTGCTGATGTCAACATTGACGTCGGTGTCTTTATTAGCATCTTTATAGGCACGATGGTTTACACTGATACCATCTCCATCTTCATTTACATTGGCCAGCGATTTGTTGGCATTTTTACTCGTTTTCATCTTTGCAACAAGTTGTGCTACCAGCCAGCTATTGTCGCTTTTACTTTTGCTATAGTAACTGCTGCTGTTGTTATTGTTTGTTGGTTTAGCTTGTTGCATAATTAAAAATAATATTCTTAGAATTTTATCAAGTTTTATGTTTTCATAAAAGGGAATTCTATTTGTAATTTGTTTATCATTCGTCATCGCTTCTTCCTGCGCCGGAAGTTTGTGTTTTAGATTTTTATTTTGATGTTTTTGCTGATGATATGGCAAATACCATTGTCGTTGTTTTTTGTTACTAATGTGGCATCGTATGCTTCTTCGTTTGTACTTGTAGTTGGATTTTAAAAAAGTTAATATATTCATGTTGTGACTGTAATTTTTGGCATATTTTTTGTAAATTATTCTATTTGAATTTAAATCTTTTCGGATGTGTTTCATGTTTATTAATATTTAAAACAATCGATTGGGTTTATAACTGAAAATAAAGAAAAAAGTTGCTTATATTAGTTTAAAACGATAATATTTATTCCTACTACACATTAATACATATTAATCTTATTAAAGTCCTTTAAGTAATTTAGTAAGTGTTTTAATTCCAATAATTACAAATGTTATCGTATTTGTAATCTAAAGTGTAGTTTTTAGGTTTGAGATAAGAATAATCTAAAAGTCTAAGTAAGTAAAATTAATTCATATACTATATTTTATGGTAATCTGTTCATATTAGACCCAAGGTCCCATGAATAACTAGGGTGGTTTTCAGCTATTAAATTTGGTACTAAGTATTATTAAAGTTAAAACAAAATTCAATGTACATATGTAAGTAAGTATGTGTTATAACAATATAAATCAGCCTTCCAAATACTTTGTTTGATATATATATTTTTTTGATTTTAGTATCGAAGTTGCTGATGTTCCCGCCGAGGAGGTATTACACATTCTGGAACGGGTGTGTTCCACATTCTTAAGTATTCAAGTATTCAGTGGAATACGAATCTATTGCTGAAACAGAAAACTACTAGGTCGAATTTTAAATAGCATTTCTCCATCAGGAATGTCGCCTCACAAGGTAAGCCTCAAGGTATGACTTGTTATGCTTCTTCGTAATTTCAACACGAAGAAAGGACTATGGCACAAGATTACAAGTCATAACGCTATCAGCAAGTTTTATTTGTGCAACTATTCTCTTAGGCATTAACCTAGCTCTAATAAATGTAGATCTTATTTTTTTTGTACGCCGACGGCAGTTCCCAAATTACAGAATTATTTCCCTCTTTTTAATTATACCCTCCACCACCTTCAGTGGTGATAGAGGGTATATATAAGTTTGTCATTTCGTGTGTAACACCAAGAAATATTCATCTGAGACCCAACAAAGTATATATATTCTGGCTCCTTATGAAATTCTGAGGGGATTTAGCTATGCCCATTTTCTCGAAAACTATGCAAGATAATTTGATGAAAGTCATCATATATTCGTTTCTACACAAGATATTGATTCCTGCTGAAAATTGCCAGAATCGGTCCATAATTTCATATACCTCATATACAAAAGTACATATTCCCAGAAAAATTAGTTTTTTGTTAATAACTTCCGTCAGAATGTTGATATCTTCACAAAATTTTACAAATTAAAATCTTATGTCAATAGAATTCATTGAGAGAAAAAATCGGTCCATAATTGGACATAACTCCCATACAAGGTCCCCTCCCGAAAATCATAATTGGTCATAGCTCCCATACAAGGACCCTTCCCGAAAATCACTTAAACGCGCATAACTCATTACTAAATTAAGATATCCATATAAAATTTGGAATATGTATTGCTTATATGCACATAAATATTACTGTGGAAGTTTTTTCCGATCGGTCCATAATTGGTCATAGCTCCCATACAAGGTCCCCCCCGAAAATCACTTAAACGCACATAACTCATTACTAAATTAAGATATCCATATAAAATTTGGTACAAGTATTTCTCTCACATACAGAAATATTCTATGAAATTTTTTTCCAATCGGTCCATAATTGGTCATAGCTCCCATTCAAGGTCCCCTCTCGAAAATCACTTAAACTCACATAACTCATTACTAAATCAAGATATCCATATAAAATTTGGTAAAGTATTGCTCTCACATACAGAGATATTACTGTGAAATTTTTTTCCGATCGGTCCATAATTGGTCATAGCTCCCATACAAGCTCCAATCCCGAAAATCACTTAAACACACATAACTCATTACTAAATTAAAATATCCATATAAAGTTTAGTACAAGTATTGTTCTCACATATGGAAATATTACTATGGAATTTTTTCCGATCGGTCCATAATTGGTCATAGCTCCCGTACAAGTCCCCTTCCGAAAATCACTTAAACGCACATAATTCATTACTAAATTAAGATATACATATAAAATTTGGTACAAGTATTGCTCACATATACAGAAATATTATTATGGAAAAATAAGTGAAAATTAATTTCCAAATATTGAAAAACAATCTTATTCTTATGTTAAAAAATATTTTTTTTTGATAGATATCCCCCTCGCATCCCATTATGGAACTATAAAGCCCTTAAAGTAAATTATCTAAGCTTTCGTTTGAGCAAAAAAAAAAATTATTAAAAAAAATGTTTTTTTTTTAATTTTAAAAAAGTTAAAAACATTTTTTGGAAACGATGAGGAAATAGCTAATTTGGACAATTTTTGCAAGGACCAATAGGTGAAAAGTTACCCGCATTTGAATAAAACCCTGTATGACCAAAATGTCAAACTTTGACCCCCTCTAAGTCCGACAGTACTTGCCGATAACGCTGAAAATTTGTGTTTGGCCTACTATCCAATAGTACTAACCTTGGTGAAAATTTCGCCAACGTTAATATTATTATGGAAGTTTTTTCGGATCAGTCCATAATTGGTCATAGCTCCCATACAAGGTCCCCTCCCGAAAATCACTTAAACGCACATAACTCATTACAAAATATTGATATCCATACATTTAGCACAAATATTGCTCTTATATACATAAATTACACTATAAAATTGTTTTGCAATCGGTCCATATTTGGTCATAGCTCTCATACTAGGTCCCCTCCAGAAAATCACTTAAGTGCACAATATTCATTGTCAAATAATGATATAGATACAGAATTTTGAAATTTTGTCTTTATATACATAATTGGTCATAGCTCCCATACAAGGTCCTTTTACGAAAATCTCTTAAACGCACATTACTCATTACCAAATAAAGCTATTGATACAAAATATTGCAGAAATATTAGTTTGGTATACAAAAATTCTATTTTAAGATTTTTTCATGATCGGTCCATAACATGGGTGCGGTCGGTCCCATGCAAGTGTCCCTTCAGAAAATCACTTGAACACACATTACTTATTACTAAATTACGATATAGATACAAAATTTGACGAAATATAGCTTTTATGTACAGAAATTTTGCTCAAAGAATTTTTTACGATCGGTCTATAATTGGTCATATCTCCCATACTAGGTCCTGCCCCTAAAAGCAATTTAACCGTATTTAAATAGTTGCATTATAAATTTGTGTAGAACAAAATTATATATATGTATTTTGAAAATCCTTAAATCTTTCACACGTATGCATACATGCACATTATTAAATATCGTTAACGCATATCTTAAGGCGCTATAAAAATATAAAATAAAATGGGGTTTGTAATGTTCAATAAATCTTGGAATTGTAACAGATTTAAGCTGTTTAAATCTTGGGGTTTTTCTATTTAAGACACGAGAAAACTTATTTCTACAAATATTTGATCAATTAGAAAAGTATTAATATAAAAGTAGCTGGTGGAGGGTATTTAAGATTCGGCTCAGCCGAATATAGCACTCTAACTTGTTTTTATATATAAAACCTGTCTAATCATCAGAAATTTCGAATAAATATTTTATATCGTGAAAATCAGTCCATAATTGAGCACTTTCTTATAGTAGGTGTAGGGTATGATTGAAAATGGGATCAAAAAGTATTTATTTCGTATTTATATTATAAATGAATACCCATTTGCGCAATTATTTCCATACATTTCTATCTATCTAGATTATAAAAATTTTAAATGTCTTGGATTTTTGTATAAACATTAAAAAAGACAACAAACTGTTGATCGCAATATTTTTTTTATTGTTGCAACAGCCCTTGACAAAAGTGCACTCCAACAAGTGGCAGACGTACAATATTTTAAATTTTGTGCACACACTTTTACAAAGACGAATAAAGAACAATTAAAAGTTTTATATTCGTCTATGCCGAATTTTATATACCCAACACTAAAGCATCTGTATTTAAAGTGAATTTCGGAAGTTGGCCCCATCTACATTCTACCATATGTAGATGGACCAACTTCAGAAATTCACTTTAAATGCGCAATATTTGTACTATATGTATATATGTATTTGAAAAAAATCATCTTATTCGTAATATTGTAATAAAGTAAATAAGTATGTAGGGTGTAAATGTTCATAGAATTGCCCATAATGTGGGTTTGGGTCAAATATAGACCGAATTCTAAGATTGATTTATTTCTTAAACAAATAAGTTATGTAAAATTTTTTGTAATTTCCTGCAGGGGTAGTGTCAATTATCGACCAATCTTTGGTAGAAAGATTCTGGTTCCTATAAAACTTGTTTAAAACTAGTGTCAAATATGGACCGATCTTTATGAAATTGTCTTATATTTGGTTCCTTTAAGGTGTATTTGTGTCGTACTCCGGGAGTTCTTGTGTATGTGGGCTGGGTGGAATCGTAGATGGATATTGCATGTATTCAATACCGAACAGACTTCATCAATAGAAAATACGGACAGACATAGCTACATCATCATACGATATAGTAAGAACTCAGAATACTTTATCTGTGTTACAAACGGATTGACAAAATCTTGCTTGATGGTAGGTATGAAAAAAGAATAAACCCATTGAGAACAACAACCCTACAGTCATGGATTCAGTTCCGTGTAGAGTACTATTACACTTGACACAATCTATTTTACCCACATGCATGTGTACATAATAATTTATTGGCTGACAAATTTCCCGGATGATATATGATTTGTAAACGTAGCAAATTCCAAATGTTTATCTTTTATTATTAACGTCTTTAAATGAGTTACTATTATATTTTTTTCGTGAGTTTTTTAATTTCTTCTAGTGTATTCATATTTTTCTTAGTGTATGAGCGTTAGAAATTTTAGTAACTTAGCTAAAAAACTAGTTATTATTAGAATATACATACAATTATTCAAAAATATTCGTTTTCTTTTTTCTATACTAAGAATTTTTCTCTTAAAAAAAAACAATTAAATGCTTTAGGTTATCGGCTACAGCGAATTGTAAATGGCCCTATAGAACGTACAATTGGTAATTTCTGTATTGTATTTATATGAGAGGTAGTGGCAAATATACCTCTTTTAGCATTTTAACCCTAAAGTTTACCCCTC